TTCGATTAATCGATGAATCGATTAACCTCTTTATTCCAAAATAAACATTTTAGACAGAACAAACAAGCACACAAGTACAGGTTGCTCATTAACTGTACTGGTGCAATATGAAAAATAAATGTTTGTGTTAAAACTACGCAAACTTACATGAGAAATGTAGCTGTACATCCACAAAATATAGGGTACTTTGTTTCATAAAGCACAAAAAAAGACTTTTTTTTTTTTTAAAGCCCCTAAGGGGTTCAAACAATAGGCCCCCCCATTTCAACAAATGAGTTTTTTTAGACTAGAAGAGTTCTGCCTTTTAAGACAGGAAAGTATAGCAGTTAAAGTTGCTACTTGAGAAAATACTGAACCATAGAGATAAAAATAGCCCTGTGATTCAAATTATAAATTGTATTTGGAATAAAAATGAGAGAACTAGGGGTGCTAAAAAACACATCCTCCAAAGACAGATATTTACATGGGAATGTGGCAGATAATTAATTGACATATTACTGATCTTGCTGGATTTTATTCTGCTTTACTTCCATAAATTGCAGGATCTTCTTTACTTTATCTTTGCCAGAAGATTTAAACTTTAAAAGCCTTGCCCTCATAATTTGCAAATTAATTTATTTATAAAGAAAATATAAACGCTGCTTAAGCTAATTCAAATGAAATTAAAAGTAAAATAAGAAGCCAACCTTATCACTGTCTGTAACCTACTAACACGGTAAGGAAAGCATCAGATGAGCTACCTGAGAAACTAACGTTACGTTTCCCCACTTTAAAACCAAACAAACATGGTGCTTCCGTGCCATGTTCATTTGTTTTGACAAAAATTGCATGTTATTACTTTATTCGCTTTACAAAGCGCAGGCTATTTTAATTATTGTGATCAATTTGCGCCGTCAATCCCGGCGCATGCGCGTTTCATTTGCAGTCTGGACGCTGAGGGTAAACATCCTGCGGCTCTGACTGCAGCGCTGAGAGGGACTCCTGTGGGAGAACGGGGTTGGGATGGGGGAGGCGCCCCACGGCAATGACGGCGGCCGCGGATGACGCATTAATCGCGCGACACAACTAATCGATGATGAAATTCGTTGCCAACGCTTTTAAAAGTCGATTTTTATCGATTTTAGCGATTCATTGTTGCAGCCCTACATGATGTCAGACTGTGGAAACCCTGAATAAAATAACTAATATAATAGGAAAGTTCACAGAATCCATGGTTAGCATAAACAAAACGTGTTGCACAATGCTTGCACACTGTTGCACTTTTATCCCCAGCTTTCTTCCCGCCGTCATCGTAGGTCACTCTAAATGCAAAGTGGTCCCATACAGCAGATCTATAAAGTGCTGCTGGCGCGTCTTCCATCTCCTGTTCTTTCCCACTCGCTATACCCACACAATTCTCCACAACTACTGATTGTTTTCTGCTACACCCGGCTACGCTGCTTCGCTTCTTCTTCTTCTTGTTTACTACTGGTGGTTGGCTTTGGTCGCAGTACCGCCACCTTCTGCCCTGGAGTGTAAACGCTTTGCCTATGAGAAAAAGGAGCAGCGCATAAACTGAACGAAACACACGCGAACCGAACCGAGACAGTAGAACCGAACGGTTCGGACGGTTTTCATAAACCGTTCCATCCCTAGTGAATAATGATTCTCTAGAAAAGTCACATTATATTAATAGTATTATCTTGTATAAACATAACGTGACTCTAAAATAAGAGTTATTCATTTGTGACATTGACTTCTGTCTTGTGATTTATCTGAAGTTTTTAACCTGTAAGTTTTTTTTAGATTTTTAACATTACAATTAATATCTTTCCAAGCACACAACAGTTTAAAGCAAAGTTTAGTTTGAAAAGAATGAGCAGGAAGGATTGAAAAGCATGTCAACACGGTAATGTAGGCTTGAGTTCATTATCTGACGCATGCAGATACACACCAGGAACCTGGAAACTTAAAAAATACTGAATTACAGAAAACATTTAAAAAACAAACATGTTTCATTGAGAAAAATCCTTAACGTCAACCCCTGCATATAAATGACTCGAGGGAGGCGTGGTAGAGGTTGATGACCACAGGCAGGAAGGGTTTCCGGTGGCGCTCTGTGGTGCATCTGGGTAAAAGTAAGGAAGTTCAAAAGAAAACTGAAGCGGTGTAACTGCAGCTTCCTGCTTTTGGCGCATGCGCACTGCTTCTGAAGGCTCCCTGCTTAAAGCAGCGCATGTCGAGGCCCATTTTCAGTTTGCCAGTGACTAACCTTTGATCCACTGGAGTCATGGGAGAAAGTCATGTGATCAGATGAGAACAAAATGGAACTTTGTGGTCAGAATTCCACTAACCGTGTTTGGAGGAAGATGAGTGATGAGTGCCATCCTAAGAACAGCAGCCCTACAGTGAAGCATGGGGGTGGCAGCATCATGCTGTGGGGGTGTTTTTCTGCTCATGGGCGACTTCTGGCAATACAACTAGACCTTATCATCCCTTCACTCATACATTCAGACCTGCTTTATTAAAGGGAGAAACCCTTCAGGAAATGGGGATAATCAAATTTATCCACTTGCAAGATAACAGTGAACCAGTTGTTGATATTAGAGACCCAAAAATAAATAAAGATTTGATGCCTTTGAGGAGGTGAACCAGCCATATCTCTTCTCCTCCCTAAAACAAACTGGTCTAAATCATATAGAGCACCCCAATCTGAAAAATATCCAATCAATTCAATTAAACAGAAGCCGTCCTCTTTCTCTGTCTCCAATACCATTAAATAGGACTCTATGCTGATGACATTATACTGTAGATTCCTAATCCTACGCCTCTCCAGTCAGTATCTCGGGTTATTCTGTAAACCGGTCTAAACAAACTAGGATGCTGGAACTGGGAATCTTTACCAGTCAGGTAATTAAACATCTTGGAACTCAGTCAATGCACTTAAACTCATTCCTCCATGATGAAAGAACAGACAGATGGAACAACCTCCCGCAGGTAAATGACCTGTTTCCCTCCTGTTACTCCTCCTCCCGACTGGTTCTCCTCTCTGAACTGCTGAAGAAAGTTATATTGGAAAGACAAACAATCCAGAATTAAACTCTTCAGAAACCCGAACAATATGGTGGACTAGACGCACCAAATTTTTACAAGTATTTCCTCTCTCACCACCTTCAGTAGATCAGACACTGGAACATTAATTCAAACTCGATGAGGCTAAACCATCATAAGATTCCTCCTATAGATGGATAATAAGAACCAGACTGTATGCATGGAAGACGGACCATAAACATTCGCTGATAGAATCTCTCCATCCGTCTCACTCTCTGGATCAGGCCAATGTCGCCAACCTTCCTGCGTGGACACAGAGATGAGCAGCCAGCCGGCAGAGCCATCAGACCACCATACCCGTCAGACTGGCATACCCGTCAGACCGCCATACCCGTCAGACCACCATACCCAGTCAGACAGGCAGACCCGTCAGACCGCCATACCCGTCAGACCGGCATACCCGTCAGACCGGCATACCCGTCAGACAGGCATACCCGTCAGACCGGCATACCCGTCAGACCACCATACCCGTCAGACCACCATACCCAGTCAGACAGGCAGACCCGTCAGACCGCCATACCCGTCAGACCGCCATACCCGTCAGACCGGCATACCCGTCAGACAAGCAGACCCGTCAGACAAGCAGACCCGTCAGACCGGCATACCCGTCAGACCGGCATACCCGTCAGACAGGAATACCCCGTCAGACAAGCAGACCCGTCAGACAAGCAGACCCGTCAGACCGCCATACCCGTCAGACCGGCATACCCGTCAGACAGGAATACCCGTCAGACCGCCATACCCGTCAGACCGGCATACCCGTCAGACCGGCATACCCGTCAGACAGGAATACCCCGTCAGACAAGCAGACCCGTCAGACAAGCAGACCCGTCAGACCGCCATACCCGTCAGACCGGCATACCCGTCAGACCGGCATACCCCGTCAGACAGGAATACCCCGTCAGACAGGCAGACCCGTCAGACCGGCATACCCCGTCAGACCGGCATACCCGTCAGACCGGCATACCCCGTCAGACTGGCATACCCGTCAGACTGGCATACCCGTCAGACTGGCATACCCGTCAGACAGGAATACCCCGTCAGACAGGCATACCCGTCAGACAGGAATACCCCGTCAGACAGGCAGACCCGTCAGACCGGCATACCCCGTCAGACCGGCATACCCGTCAGACCGGCATACCCCGTCAGACTGGCATACCCGTCAGACTGGCATACCCGTCAGACCGGCATACCCCGTCAGACAGGAATACCTTATCCCTTTAGCTTTGCCCTTTATTTTTGCATGAAAAACACATTTAATCTCTCATTTCTGATGAAAGGTTTTAGGAAAAGCATCTCTCTGAGGAACAGGCCTGGAAGGAGAATCCCTCTGAAGATGATCTTCAAAGAAAAGCTGATCTAAGATGCTCTGATCTATAAAACACTGACAGGCTTTTATGTCCCAAACTAAAGGAAGCAGCAACAGGGCGACACACACACACTATTGCACGCACACAGCAGTACACCCCCACTAACACCCACTAGTCCCCACTAACACCCACTAGCCCCCACTAGCGCCCACTAACCCCCACTAACACCCACTAGCCCCCACTAACACCCACTAGCCCCCACTAACACCCACTAGCCCCCACTAGCGCCCACTAACCCCAACTAACACCCACTAGCCCCCACTAACCCTTACTAGCCCCCACTGACACCCACTTACCCACACTAACACCCAATAACCCTTACTAGCCCCCACTAACCCCGATTAACACCCACTAACACCCACTAACACCCAGTAGCCCCCACTAACCCCCATATGCATCCCGTGAGGAGGGGGGTGATGGCGTTGCCCTGGAGACCGTGGCTCCAGGATGCTGGGATTCAGCCATCGGCCCAATCAGCATCAGCTCGGTTCGGTTCCTGATCTCTACCCAGGATGGTCTTTATGTAACCCCCCCCCTTACCTGAACCGCTCCTGTCCGGCCGTGTCCCACAGCTGCAGCTTGATTTTCACTCCGGACTCGATGTCCAGCGAGCGGGCATAGAAATCCACGCCCACGGTGGGATCCGCCACGTCGCTGTAAATCCCGTCCGTGAAACGCTTCAGCAGCGACGACTTTCCCACAGTGGAGTCCCCCAGCAGGATGATGCGGAACTGGTACTGCCACAGAGTATCCATGGCATGACTGGGACGGAGGCAGAGGAGGAGGAGGAGGATGAAGAGGAGGAGGATGATGCAAACAAAGCGAAGCTCTGCTGAGGAGGAGGAGGAGGAGGCTGTTCGGTCATGTGACTGATTTACCTTTGCTCCACTGCGCTGCAGCCTCCAGCCCATAAACCACCCTGCTGCTGTTACCATGGAGACGGCAGGAGGGGGAGGGGGAGGCATCATTCACAACAAGATAATTCCACCAGAAACTGTTCTAGAACCAGAACCAGGACCAGGATTAGAACCAGAACCAGAAAAAGAACCAGGACCAGGAGCAGAACCAGGAGCAGAACCAGGACCAAGACCAGGACCAGGACCACAACCAGAACCAGGACCACAACCAGGACCAGAAACAGAACCAGAAAAAGAACCAGGACCAGAACTAGAACCAGGACCAGAACCAGGACCAGGACCAGAACCAGGACCAGAACCAGGACCACAACCAGGACCAGAAACAGAACCAGAAAAAGAACCAGGACCAGAACTAGAACCAGGACCAGAACCAGGACCAGAACCAGGACCAAGTCATCACTGACTGGGAGGGAAATATTCCAGAACCTAGAGAGCATCTTGTCTTTATTTACTTTATGAGTTGGAAAAATAGTTTTAACAGATTTTTTAGTCCGCCTCCAAACAGACTTTTTTAAACATGAATGTAAACAAAAATAAATTTCATTTAAAACAGCTCTAGACAATTTCATTTTTCAAAGTGCAGCCTTGAAAAACATTAATTGTATACAAAAAATAGTAATATAAATATATTTTTTATAAATAAAATAACCCAAAATTCATCAGTGTGATGGCGGTGGGGAAGAAGCTGCTGCAGAACCTGCTGGTCCTGCATTGAATGCTGGGAAGCCTCTTCCCAGAGGGCAGCAGGGAGAACAGTCCATGGTGGGGGGGGTGAGGGGTCATTGATGATGTCACGGGACACGCAGCGCTGGGATGAAATGTCTTTAATGGAGGGAAGAGGAGCCCCCATGATCCTCTCTGCTGTTCTCACCTTCTTCCAGTCTGAGGCGCTGCAGCCTCCACACCACACAGTGAGACAGCTGCTCAGAACGCTCTCTATGGTGCTTCTGGAGAAGGTGGGGAGGATGGGGGGGTCTGCACCAGTCCACCAGCTGCTCCACCTCCTCTCTAGAATAGAAAAGTAAAGAGTTAAAATATAAACAATAAAATGCTGTAACAATATAAAGCTGGAGAATAAATAACCAACAACCAGCTATGGACATTTTTACAGTAATATAAATAGCAGCAACATCAGAGACGTGCAGAATGACAGCAGCAGGTTATTTAACTGACTGAGGTAGAAACTGCTGCATGAATGGAAGAACTGGTTGAGGTTACTGGGAACAGTGGTGGTTCTAGAGTCTTCCAGCTGCTGGGAGGAAGGATCTGTGATAACGCTCCCTGGTGCATTTAGGGGGCAGCAGTCGGTCACTGAAGGAGCTCTGCAGTTCAGCACCAGCTGAACCAGCAGGGGGGGGGGGGGGGGGGGGGGGGGGGGAATCCGTCTGTTTCCCACCTCCTGCTCTGAGTCCAGAGGGCATCCAATAACAGCTGGCCTTCCAGATCAGCTGATCCAGCCGCTTCCTCTCAGCTACAGATGAGCCGCTGCTCCATAGAAGATGGCTGATGCCACAGCAGAGTCAGAGAAGTCTTTAGGATCCCCCCCTATGAGCTGCATGGAGCCCATAGAGCTGCATGGAGCCCATAGAGCTGCATGGAGCCCATAGAGCTGCATGGAGCCCATAGAGCTGCATGGAGCCCATAGAGCTGCGTGGAGCTCATAGAGCTGCGTGGAGCTCATAGAGCTGCGTGGAGCTCATAGAGCTGCGTGGAGCTCATAGAGCTGCGTGGAGCTCATAGAGCTGCATGGAGCCCATAGAGCTGCGTGGAGCTCATAGAGCTGCGTGGAGCGCATAGAGCTGCGTGGAGCCCATAGAGCTGCGTGGAGGCCCATAGAGCTGCATGGAGCCCATAGAGCTGCATGGAGCCATAGAGCTGCATGGAGCCCATAGAGCTGCGTGAGCTCATAGAGCTGCGTGGAGCTCATAGAGCTGCGTGGAGCTCATAGAGCTGCGTGGAGCTCATAGAGCTGCATGGAGCCCATAGAGCTGCGTGGAGCTCATAGAGCTGCGTGGAGCTCATAGAGCTGCGTGGAGCCCATAGAGCTGCGTGGAGCCCATAGAGCTGCGTGGAGCCCATAGAGCTGCGTGGAGCCCATAGAGCTGCATGGGGCCCATAGAGCTGCGTGGAGCCCATAGAGCTGCGTGGAGCCCATAGAGCTGCGTGGAGCCCATAGAGCTGCGTGGAGCTCATAGAGCTGCATGGAGCCCATAGAGCTGCATGGGGCCCATAGAGCTGCGTGGAGCCCATAGAGCTGCGTGGAGCCCATAGAGCTGCGTGGAGCCCATAGAGCTGCGTGGAGCCCATAGAGCTGCATGGAGCCCATAGAGCTGCGTGGAGCCCATAGAGCTGCGTGGAGCCCATAGAGCTGCGTGGAGCCCATAGAGCTGCGTGGAGCCCATAGAGCTGCGTGGAGCCCATAGAGCTGCGTGGAGCTCATAGAGCTGCATGGAGCCCATAGAGCTGCATGGAGCCCATAGAGCTGCGTGGAGCTCATAGAGCTGCATGGAGCCCATAGAGCTGCATGGAGCCCATAGAGCTGCGTGGAGCCCATAGAGCTGCGTGGAGCCCATAGAGCTGCGTGGAGCCCATAGAGCTGCGTGGAGCCCATAGAGCTGCGTGGAGCCCATAGAGCTGCATGGGGCCCATAGAGCTGCGTGGAGCCCATAGAGCTGCGTGGAGCCCATAGAGCTGCGTGGAGCCCATAGAGCTGCGTGGAGCTCATAGAGCTGCATGGAGCCCATAGAGCTGCGTGGAGCCCATAGAGCTGCGTGGAGCCCATAGAGCTGCGTGGAGCCCATAGAGCTGCGTGGAGCCCATAGAGCTGCGTGGAGCCCCATAGAGCTGCGTGGAGCCCATAGAGCTGCATGGAGCCCATAGAGCTGCATGGAGCCCATAGAGCTGCGTGGAGCCCATAGAGCTGCATGGAGCCCATAGAGCTGCATGGAGCCCATAGAGCTGCATGGAGCCCATAGAGCTGCGTGGAGCCCATAGAGCTGCGTGGAGCCCATAGAGCTGCATGGAGCCCATAGAGCTGCGTGGAGCCCATAGAGCTGCGTGGAGCTCATAGAGCTGCGTGGAGCCCATAGAGCTGCATGGAGCCCATAGAGCTGCGTGGAGCCCATAGAGCTGCGTGGAGCCCATAGAGCTGCGTGGAGCTCATAGAGCTGCATGGAGCCCATAGAGCTGCATGGAGCCCATAGAGCTGCGTGGAGCTCATAGAGCTGCATGGAGCTCATAGAGCTGCATGGAGCCCATAGAGCTGCGTGGAGCCCATAGAGCTGCGTGGAGCCCATAGAGCTGCGTGGAGCCCATAGAGCTGCGTGGAGCCCATAGAGCTGCATGGGGCCCATAGAGCTGCATGGAGCCCATAGAGCTGCGTGGAGCCCATAGAGCTGCGTGGAGCCCATAGAGCTGCGTGGAGCTCATAGAGCTGCATGGAGCCCATAGAGCTGCATGGAGGCCCATAGAGCTGCGTGGAGCCCATAGAGCTGCGTGGAGCTCATAGAGCTGCATGGAGCCCATAGAGCTGCATGGAGCCCATAGAGCTGCGTGGAGCCCATAGAGCTGCGTGGAGCCCATAGAGCTGCGTGGAGCCCATAGAGCTGCATGGAGCCCATAGAGCTGCGTGGAGCCCATAGAGCTTCGTGGAGCCCATAGAGCTGCGTGGAGCCCATAGAGCTGCGTGGAGCCCATAGAGCTGCGTGGAGCCCATAGAGCTGCATGGAGCCCATAGAGCTGCGTGGAGCTCATAGAGCTGCGTGGAGCTCATAGAGCTGCATGGAGCCCATAGAGCTGCATGGAGCCCATAGAGCTGCGTGGAGCCCATAGAGCTGCGTGGAGCTCATAGAGCTGCATGGAGCCCATAGAGCTGCGTGGAGCCCATAGAGCTGCGTGGAGCCCATAGAGCTGCGTGGAGCCCATAGAGCTGCGTGGAGCCCATAGAGCTGCGTGGAGCCCATAGAGCTGCGTGGAGCCCATAGAGCTGCGTGGAGCCCATAGAGCTGCGTGGAGCCCATAGAGCTGCGTGGAGCCCATAGAGCTGCGTGGAGCCCATAGAGCTGCGTGGAGCCCATAGAGCTGCGTGGAGCCCATAGAGCTGCGTGGAGCCCATAGAGCTGCGTGGAGCCCATAGAGCTGCGTGGAGCCCATAGAGCTGCGTGGAGCCCATAGAGCTGCGTGGAGCCCATAGAGCTGCGTGGAGCTCATAGAGCTGCATGGAGCCCATAGAGCTGCGTGGAGCTCATAGAGCTGCGTGGAGCCCATAGAGCTGCATGGAGCCCATAGAGCTGCGTGGAGGCCATAGAGCTGCGTGGAGCCCATAGAGCTGCATGGAGCTCATAGAGCTGCGTGGAGCCCATAGAGCTGCGTGGAGCCCATAGAGCTGCGTGGAGCCCATAGAGCTGCGTGGAGCCCATAGAGCTGCGTGGAGCCCATAGAGCTGCGTGGAGCTCATAGAGCTGCGTGGAGCCCATAGAGCTGCATGGAGCCCATAGAGCTGCGTGGAGCCCATAGAGCTGCGTGGAGCCCATAGAGCTGCGTGGAGCCCATAGAGCTGCGTGGAGCCCATAGAGCTGCGTGGAGCTCATAGAGCTGCATGGAGCCCATAGAGCTGCATGGAGCCCATAGAGCTGCGTGGAGCTCATAGAGCTGCATGGAGCCCATAGAGCTGCATGGAGCCCATAGAGCTGCGTGGAGCTCATAGAGCTGCATGGAGCCCATAGAGCTGCATGGAGCCCATAGAGCTGCGTGGAGCCCATAGAGCTGCGTGGAGCCCATAGAGCTGCGTGGAGCTCATAGAGCTGCGTGGAGCTCATAGAGCTGCGTGGAGCTCATAGAGCTGCGTGGAGCCCATAGAGCTGCGTGGAGCCCATAGAGCTGCGTGGAGCTCATAGAGCTGCATGGAGCCCATAGAGCTGCGTGGAGCCCATAGAGCTGCATGGAGCCCATAGAGCTGCGTGGAGCCCATAGAGCTGCGTGGAGCTCATAGAGCTGCATGGGGCCCATAGAGCTTCTCCTTGTTTCATCCTTTTCCTCTCAGTTATCACTCATCTTATCTGAATTAAAGTTCATTTCAAACTGACTCTTATTTTTAAAACAAAAAGTGCAGCAGAAACAGTAAATAAACTATGATTTAAACTCCTAGTCCACAAACATCCTCATTCACATTTTACCCTAAATTCCCATGTTAGGATTTATGTTTACATTATTTATTGGCTTTATTATTATTATTAAGCGTCACTAGTCTGGTTTATCAGTGTGATGCAGTCTGTGACCTCATTTCAGCTACGTTAAAACATGCACTGCTCCCATAATGCACCCTGATGATCATGTGACCTTTGTGGACCAATCGGATTACTGACTGTGAGTCAGAGCCTGTATAAAAGCAGCAGCTCAGCCTTCTTCGGTCCTTTCCCGAAGAGAATCTGAGGACAACATGGCGGCTCCTGCTGATCCACGGTGGGTTCTGGTTCTGGTTCAGTTAATCCAGAGGCTCTGGTCCATTCAGGCTGATTTATGCAGCAGTAGAGCGCAGGTTGATGGATGGTAGCCCTGATGTTAAACACGGAGGAGCCGGTGGAGGGTTAAAGCCGCTCTTGGAGCTAGTTGGTTAGCTTAGCTGTGTATGCTAACAGGCTAACCCACGTGCCGGGTCTTCATGTGTTCCCCTCAGGTCCAGAGGAAAAGGAGTCCTGGTCCGGACCATAATCCCGGTCCAGCTTAGACCGGATGATCCAGTTGGCGCAGCGGTTCTGGATGACTGCTGAACGGTCCGGTTCTGGCTGGTTCTGGAGGCAGCAGCCATCTTGGCTCCTCCTGGTCGGGTCCACGTGCTGCAGGTGAGTTAAGGAGCAGGTCCTCCTCCTCCAGGCTCCAATCGAAGCCGGTCCTGCTCTCCTGTAGCAGCCGCCGGTCAAACGGAAGCCCAGATGAAGCCTTTCACCGACGGTCGCTGCTCAGCGGACCAGTGGCTGTTCAGCAACATTTAGGGAAAGGACACCTGGCTCCTCTCCGCCCTGGGGCCGCTTCTATTGGTTCTCACGCTGTTTGTCTACAGGTGACGCTGCAGGAGGAGGAGGGCCGCCTGGTCCGGTCCGGAGGAGAAGGAGGACCGCAGGTCGGACCCCAGCCTGAGGTGAGCTTCCAGGCCGCTGGTTCTGATCCAACTATCCAGGCTGTGATGATAAACTTGCCCTCACTGATCATTGGTTCTGACTGAGTTCTTTTCTCTGAGCCCGGTTCTTCTCCACTGAGGTGAAGGTTCTGGTTCCTGATTGGTGACCAGGTGTTTGTGTTTCAGGTGGTGGAACCGGAACCGGAGCGGCTGAAGGAGGCTGCAGATCCAGGTTTGTTCCTCAGAACCCTGCTTTGCTCAGCATGTCATCCTAAGGAGGGGAGCTCCTCCATAGCTCCTGCTCCTCCAAGTTCATGCCAGATCAGAGGGCGGCCTTTGACTGGGAGGCTCCTCTGCCTCCTGCAGCCACTCTGCCGTCCAACACCTCCCCTTCTCCTCTCTCTGCTGTCCAACACCTCCCCTTCTCCTCTCTCTGCTGTCCAACACCTCCCCTTCTCCTCTCTCTGCTGTCCAACACCTCCCCTTCTCCTCTCTCTGCTGTCCAACACCTCCCCTTCTCCTCTCTCTGCCGTCCAACACCTCCCCTTCTCCTCTCTCTGCCGTCCAACACCTCCCCTTCTCCTCTCTCTGCTGTCCAACACCTCCCCTTCTCCTCTCTCTGCTGTCCAACACCTCCCCTTCTCCTCTCTCTGCTGTCCAACACCTCCCCTTCTCCTCTCTCTGCCGTCCAACACCTCCCCTTCTCCTCTCTCTGCCGTCCAACACCTCCCCTTCTCCTCTCTCTGCCGTCCAACACCTCCCCTTCTCTCCCTGCTGTCCAGCACCTCACCTCCTCCTTTCCTCCTGCAGGCTGGTGCCTCTGAGCTCCAGATGAGTGGAGGAGCGTCTCCAGGAGGCGTGTGAAGGTACGCTCCACAGACCATCAGGTTCTGATCCATGATGACCTCTAGGAAAGGCAGACTGCTGGATGAAGCCTGCGGATATGGGGCTGAGATCAGACTTTAGATGTTCCACGACTCTTCTGGTCCACATTCACGGCAGCTCTTTGTTTCTAGGTGCTGAAGGAGGAGGTCCTCCATGGAGCCGCGCTGCTGACTCCTCCCTCCAGAGGAGAACCTGAAGGAGGTCCTCCATGGAGCCGTGCTAATGGCCGCTCCCTGTTCTGGACCTCGGCTTCTTTTCTCCAAAGTTTGGAAAATATTGGAAATGAAACTAAATAAAGTTGAACTGAAATAAGATGTGTATTTATTTGGTGGGGGGGGGCGCCATCTAGAGGACAATGGTCAGAACCTTTAATGAGCCGAGCTTCAGGTGTTCTGAGGATCAGAGCATGAATGACCCAGATGGTCCTGTAGATCCACTGCTGCCCTCAGCTGCTCTATCGAATGCTTTAAAATAAACTAAGGCCTTAATTGGTATTAAAATGTCTTAAATCAATGTTGTAGGTCTTAATTTTTTAAACATCACAAATGGGATTATTACGAGTTTTTATCTAAACATTAAAATTGACTTTACGGCTCGCCATTATTGGTTCCATCCCGATAGCGGAACCAATAAAGCGTTGTTGCGGCCGGGACATTTGGGAGATGCACCATTAACTTTGGAAAATGTGAGCAAGTGTAAATTTAACATTTTCTCCAGCCAAGAGTTTCCTCCATGGCTAAAACCAGGGAACATCCATGAGGCTCAGTGGATTTATGAAAGTCATTCAAGCTCAGAACGATGGGAATGAAGGCAGTGGAGTCACACATGCGAAGCTTCAAAATGGAGTTACTGAGAAACAGCCGGTATTTCTCAGTTTAGTTCCTCCACTTATCACCAAATCAAACAAAGAAAAATAGTTGCTAAAAGACTTAGCACTGGTTATGTTGGGGCTTTAAAACTGATTAGTTTTGTTCCCTGCTAAAGTTTGTGAATTCAGTTAAATTGTTCAAATATGTATTTAGCTTTCTTCCTGTATGGGAAGCTTTTCTAAATGTGAAACAGTGCACTGGTTTGTTAAAATAAACCTTTGGGTTACGTTGATGCAAGCAGGTTTTTCTTTTGAATTTGGTCCTAAATTTTTATTTCAAGTGGCATTAAAAAGTCTTAGTGTTGAATTGAACTTATGCTGCAGGAAGCCTGTTATCTGTCCTGGGTTAGGAGACGATCATTCTGGCGGTTGGGGCAGAGGGCTAAAGCCTGATGCTCCAACCAGGTCGTCTGTCGCAAAGGTCAAATTGCAGGGAGCCTGTGGTCAATCATCCGCTCCACGCCATGCGTGGTTCCTGTTTGACCGCCATTGTGGAAAACTACTTTAGGGCATTCAGAGGAGGAGAAATGGGCTCATGCATGTGTTTAATCGCGTTCCCTCTTCTGGGGACCCTTAACTGTGACCCAAAGACGGTTCTGATCCGATTCATCCTATCAACCATTTATTGACAAAGCATCACTCAAACGTTCATAAAAGCTGCAGCGGGCCGAACCGGGTCTTCATGCAGAATCTGTAACCGGAGGGAACCTCAGCTCGGCGATCTCTGAGTCGGGGCTGCTGCTGCTGCTCCGGTCGCTGTACATGTCTCTGTGGAGGACAGCCAACGTCACACTGGGCTCTAGGAGCAGAGAAGAAGAGCTGGGCGGGCTGGTTACCGTGGAGACAGGCGGCAGCCTTTCTGGAGGTAGCTCTGCAACTTCCCTGCAGCCGCCAGCAGCAGGCCCAGGTACGGCGGCGACGGCTTGATGGGGCGGGACGTGAACTCTGGGTGGTACTGCACCCCCACGAAATACGGGTGATCTGAAAGAATCACAGGTCAGAACCCGCCGCCGACCCGCTCGGCCCAGGCGTCATGGCGGCTCCTCACCTTCCAGCTCGATGATCTCCATTCGCTCTCCTTCCACATCCTGACCCACGAAGCGGAAGCCCTGATCCTCGAAGTGACGCTTTAGCTCCGGGTTGACCTGAGAGGCAGAACCATGAGAGGCAGAACCAGAACCATGAGAGGCAGAACCAGAACCATGAGCAGCAGCCCCCCTCATCATCATCCTCATCATGGCAGAACCAAACGGGCCCGTGGTCGTGCAGAATTCAGGACCGACCCATTTGGTTGAGGTGTGTTAAACCAGGCTTAGAACCCGTCACTGAGCAGAACCTTTCTGTGGTTTCTGCTGCAGCCCGGCCCGTCTGGTTCCTCCTTTCAGCCAGCAGCAGGTGGGGGAGGGGCAGCTTACCTCGAAGCGGTGCCGGTGCCGCTCCTCCACGTATTCTGCATCTCCATAGAGTTTCCCTGGAAGACAGAGCAGATGTCAGCAGAACCGGGCCGGGGGGCGGTCCAACAGGAAGGGGCGGGGCTTACTCAGAACACTGTTGCCGGTTGTGAAGATGGTCCGCCTCTTCCCCAGCCTCATGGTTCCGCCCATCTGGCCCGGGTTGTGTTCCGGCATGTCGATCACCTGGGGGATCAGAACCGACAGTTAGGCCCGGTCCAGCGGGGCGAACAGAGCCGTGATGGATGTGAGCAGAACCCACCACAGGATGCTTGGATTCCGGGTCAAACTCGGTGGAGTTGGCATCTAAAGTCAGACAGAAAGTTCTTTTGGGTTAAGTTCTGGTGGGTTTCCCCAAAAGCGGACCGGATCTCCAGAACAGAACCTACCTGACCAGCCCAGAACGTTCCTGGCGTACTCACAGACGGCCAGCTGCATCCCCAGACAGACGCCTGCACAGAACATCAGCAGTCAGACGGCGGTTCTGCCCGACCCGACCCGACCCGATGGCCCCGCTTACCTAGGAAGGGTTTCCTCTGCTTCCTGGCCCAGCTGATGGCGTGGATCTTCCCCTCGGTTCCCCGAACGCCGAAGCCTCCAGGAACCAGGATGCCACTGAACCCAGAAGGACCACAGAGTAAAGTTCTGACCCGTGAGACCAGTAGAGTTCTGACCCGTGTGGTGAAGGTGAGGAAGCAGAACTCACTCGGCGCTGCACAGCTTCTGCCAGGCCTCATGGTACTTCACCGGCTCGTCCTGCATGGTACCGGGCTCCAGGTACGCCGAGTCGATGTACTGCAAGGAGGAGAGCTGGTTATGGAGTGCGTTCACACCCACCGCTGTCAGCTCAGCGTACGCCATCGGACCGCCGGGTTCTGCCCCCCCAGCGGGAACAGGACCCCCCGGCCCGGTGGAACCTGCTAACTCCAAACAGACCGGTAAGCTAGAACTAGAGAAGCAGAACCCGGGGTCAGTGATGGCCCTGTTCTGTCCTCAGCCCGGTCCAACTGCTGTTAGAACCGGTCCAAAGGAGAACGGGACGGCAGCCCCCCCCCCGGGCGGTTCCTGACCCACCTTGACCTCCAGTCTGTGGCTGATGGCCAGAGCCGAGTGCTCCAGCGCCTTGATGACCGAGGCGTACGAGTCGGAGAACTTGGTGTACTTCCCCACCAGAGCGATGGAGCACTGCTCCAGCAGCCGGTCCGACCTGCAACCACATCAGAACATTGGAGCGGCGCCGCCCAGACATGGCGGCCCGTTCCCAGCTACCGGATCCCACCTGTCGGACATCTCCTTCCACTTGGCCAGCATGGTTCTAGGCTTGGTCTGGATGGGCATGTTGAGCCTGCTGCTCAGGTAGCCCACCACGCCCTGCTCCTCCAGCAGCAGCGGCACTCTGTAGATGGACGACACGTCGTGGACGCAGATGACCTGCAGACACACGGCGCCGCTTCAGAATCACACAGCTTTGACACCTGCTGGTTCCAGGAACATGGACCCACCTGCTCAGGTTCTACATGGCAGAACATGGAGATCTTCTCCTTCACTGAATTCTCCAGAGCGGTGGAGCAACGGCACATGATCTGCAGGAGGAGACGGAAGAGGAGGATGAGGCCTTCTGGATCCGACCAGCAGCTGAAGGTCCGAACCACGGCTTCACTTCTAGACGGTTCCACTGAGTTCATCAGGAACCAGATCAGGTCTAAACTTTTTCAGCGCTGCAGCTCCGTGTTTGCAAAAATAAGAACTATTCTGTCCAGGGGTGATGCTGACATTTAAAGATCTGATATCATCTGATTGTTCCTGATGTTCCTAACAGTCTGCAGGTTCACTAGTGGTTCCTAGAACCTCTAAAAGTAGAATGTTCCTAACAGTCTGCAGGTTCACTAGTGGTTCCTAGAACCTCTAAAAGTAGAATGTTCCTAACAGTCTGCAGGTTCACTAGTGGTTCCTAGAACCTCTAAAAGTACAGGTGCTGGTCATAAAATTAGAATATCATGAAAAAGTAGATTGATTTCAGTAATTCCATTTAAAAAGTGAAACTTGTATATTATATTCATACATTACATACAAACTCATATATTTCAGATGTTTATTTTGTTTAATTTTGATGATTACAAATGACAACAAATGAAAATCTCAAATTCATCATATCAGAAAATTAGAATATTGTGAAAAGGTTCAAAATTGATGGCCCCTGGTGCCACACTCTAATCAGCTAATTAACTCAAACCACCTGCAAAAGCCTTTAAATGGTCTTTCAGTCTAGTTCTATAGGCTACACAATCATGGGGAAGACTGCTGACTTGACAGTTGTCCAAAAGACGACCATCGACACCTTGCACAAGGAGGGCAAGACACAAAAGGTCATCGCTAAAGAGGCTGGCTGTTCACAGAGCTCAGTGTCCAAGCACATTAATAGAGAGGCGAAGGGAAGGAAAAGATGTGGTCGAAAAAAGTGTACAAGCAAGAGAGATAACCGCACCCTGGAGAGGATTGTGAAACAAAACCCCTTCAAAAATGTGGGGGAGATTCACAAAGAGTGGACTGCAGCTGGAGTGAGTGCTTCAAGAACCACCACACACAGACGTATGAAAGACATGGGTTTCTGCTGTCGCATTCCTTGTGTCAAGCCACTCTTGAACCACAGACAGCGTCAGAAGCGTCTTGCCTGTGCTAAAGAGAAACAGGACTGGACTGCTGGTGAGTGGTCCAAAGTCATGTTCTCTGATGAAAGTAAATTTTGCATTTCCTTTGGAAATCAAGGTCCCAGAGTCTGGAGGAAAAGAAGAGAGGCACTTCATCCACGTTGCTTGAAGTCCAGTGTAAAGTTTCCACAGTCAGTGATGGTTTGGGGTGCCATGTCATCTGCTGGTGTTGGTCCATTGTGTTTTCTGAGGTCCAGGGTCAACGCAGCCACATACCAGGAAGTTTTAGAGCACTTCATGCTTCCTGCAGCTGACCAACTTTTTGGAGATGCAGATTTCATTTTCCAACAGGACTTGGCACCTGCACACAGTGCCAAAGCTACCAGTACCTGGTTGAAGGACCATGGTATCCCTGTTCTTAATTGGCCAGCAAACTCTCCTGACCTTAACCCCATAGAAAATCTATGGGGTATTGTGAAGAAGAAGATGCAATACACCAGACCCAACAATTCAGAAGAGCTAAAAGCCACTATTAGAGCAACCTGGGCTATCATAACACCTGAGCAGTGCCACAGACTGATCGACTCCATGCCACGCCGCATTGCTGCAGTAATACAGGCCAAAGGAGGCCCAACTAAATACTGAGTGCTGTACATGCTCATACTTTTCATGTTCATACTTTTCAGTTGGCCAACATTTCTATAAATCCTTTGTTTTTATTGGTCTTCAGTAATATTCTAATTTTCTGATATGATGAATTTGAGATTTTCATTTGTTGTCATTTGTAATCATCAAAATTAAACAAAATAAACATCTGAAATATATGAGTTTGTATGTAATGTATGAATATAATATACAAGTTTCACTTTTTAAATGGAATTACTGAAATCAATCTACTTTTTCATGATATTCTAATTTTATGACCAGCACCTGTAGAATGTTCCCAACAGTCTGCAGGTTCACTACTGGTTCCTAGAACTTCTAAAAGTAGAATGTTCCCAACAGTCTGCAGGTTCACTACTGGTTCCTAGAACTTCTAAAAGTAGAATGTTCCCAACAGTCTGCAGGTTCACTACTGGTTCCTAGAACTTCTAAAAGTAGAATGTTCCCAACAGTCTGCAGGTTCACTACTGGTTCCTAGAACTTCTAAAAGTAGAATGTTCCCAACAGTCTGCAGGTTCACTACTGGTTCCTAGAACTTCTAAAAGTAGAATGTTCCCAACAGTCTGCAGGTTCACTACTGGTTCCTAGAACTTCTAAAAGTAGAATGTTCCCAACAGTCTGCAGGTTCACTACTGGTTCCTAGAACTTCTAAAAGTAGTATGTTCCCAACAGTCTGCAGGTTCACTACTGGTTCCTAGAACTTCTAAAAGTAGTATGTTCCCAACAGTCTGCAGGTTCACTACTGGTTCCTAGAACTTCTAAAAGTAGAATGTTCCCAACAGTCTGCAGGTTCACTACTGGTTCCTAGAACTTCTAAAAGTAGTATGTTCCCAACAGTCTGCAGGTTCACTACTGGTTCCTAGAACTTCTAAAAGTAGAATGTTCCTAACAGTCTGCAGGTTCACTACTGGTTCCTAGAACTTCTAAAAGTAGAATGTTCCTAACAGTCTGCAGGTTCACTACTGGTTCCTAGAACTTCTAAAAGTAGAATGTTCCTAACAGAGAACTGACTGGATGATTGGAGCTCTAGAGGATCCAGCGCCTCCATCATCATTCTGAGGGAGGAACGGGTTTCAAAGCGGCTCTCAGGATCTTTCTAAACATGTTTACTGGATTCATCACAGACAGGAGCACCCGGGTCAGAACCCGGATCAGAACCCGGGTCAGAACCTGGGTTAAGAACCTGGGTTAAGAACCCGGATCAGAACCCGGGTCAGAACCAGGATTAGAACCCAGGTCAGAACCTGGGTCAGAACCCGTGTCAGAACCTTCCAGCAGGCGGACTCACCAGGTCCGGGGACAGGCCCAGGCCCCTCAGCTCTCTGACGCTGTTCTGGGTCGGCTTGGTCTTCTGCTCGCCGGTGGCGCTGGGCTGAGCACAGACAGGGAGAGAGCAGCATGAGCAACAGGAGGACTGGAACCCGGTAGAACCGGTAGAACCAGCTGGGCGGTTCCATCTCACCTGCGGTATTAAACTGACGTGGATGTTACAGAAGTTCTCCCTCTTCACTTTGAACTGGAACTGCCTGAAGGCCTCCACGAAGGGCATGCTCTCTATGTCTCCCACGGTTCCTCCCAGCTGCAGACACACATGCAGTCAGGAACCCGGCAGAACCTGGACCCGGAACAATCCTGGGTCAGAGCTGCAGCTACCAGAACCAGAACCTACCTCGATGACGCAGACTTGGGGCTCGGTCTCATCTCCATCCACTGGAACCTTGGCCTGGTTCACCACCCACTCCTGGATGGCGTCAGTGATGTGAGGAACCACTACAACATAGGAGGAGCAGAGCGGGTCAGTGGCGCCACCAGCCAGACCGGGCCTGGTACTGACAAAACACCGTCTGCATCCATGATGGGCCGACTACAACCAGGCGCTACAAACTGCTGCAAAGAATAAAGGGAACACTAAGGGGGGCAGTCTGTAGCTTTAATGCCTTCATCCTGCAGGAACTGCTGACCTGCTCCGGCTGTCAGGCCCTCATACCATCCTCATGGAGGCAGCTTCTAACCGTCTGCAGAAACATGCACATTAGTGGCCTGCTGGAGGCCATTCTGCAGGGTTCTGGCAGTGCTCCTCCTGTTCCTCCTTAATGAAGGCAGAGGTAGCGGTCCTGCTTCAGGGTTGGTGCCCTCCTCCTGCCTCCTGGTAGTGCCTCCAGCTTCTGGACTCTACACTGACAGATACAGCAGACCATCTGGCCACAGCTGGCATTGATAAGCCGTGCTTGATGAGCTGCACTACCGGAGCTACTTCTCTGGGTCGTAGAGTCTGCCTTATGCTACCAGGAGTGTGAAAGAACCACCAAAACATCAGCCAGAGCAGAGGGACTGAGACCACCTGCAGAACACCAATCATTTCCACTGGTTTCCATCAGCAGCAGGTGGAACTGATCATCAATCAGTGTTGGTCCCTAAGTGGACAGTTTGATTTGATTCAAGTTATACTGAATGTTGATGGAGTTGCTAGTTCTCTGCATGCTGCCTTAGACAATGCAGCTCCTTTGAAAATGAAAACCGTTAAAAATAGAAAGCTAGCTCCTTGGTTAAATGCAGAGCTATTAAACCTCTGCGTAAGAAACCGTCTCTTGACCCAGATGACTTGGTTAATTATAGACCTATATCCAATCTTCCTTTCTTATCCAAAATTCTTGAGAAAGTAGTTGCCAAACAAGTTTGCGATCACTTCCACCATAATGAACTTTTTGAAGAGTTTCAGTCTGGCTTTAGAGCTCATCATAGCACTGAAACAGCTCTGGTGAAAGTCACTAATGATATTCTCATGGCCTCAGATAATGGACTTGTATCTGTGCTCGTCCTGTTGGATCTTAGTGCTGCATTTGATACAGTTGACCATAATATTCTTTTAGAAAGACTTGAATATTTTGTTGGAATTAAAGGAACAGCACTAGACTGGTTTAAATCTGATCAAGGCTGGACTATTGTAATTCTTTACTATCAGGAAGTCCACAAACTGTAGTTAAAAGCCTTCAGCTGATCCAAAATGCTGCAGCCAGAGTTCTGATGAAAATGAAAAAGAGAGATCATATCTCGCCTATCCTGGCTTCTCTTCATTGGCTTCCTGTTAAATCCAGAATAGAATTTAAAATCCTCCTTCTCACATATAAAGCCTTAAATGGCCAAGCTCCATCTTATATCAGAGATCTGATTGTTCCTTATGTTCCTAACAGAGCACTTCGCTCTCAATCTGCAGGTTTACTAGTGGTTCCTAGAATTTCTAAAAGTAGAATGGGAGGCAGATCTTTTAGTTCTCAGGCTCCTCTCCTGTGGAACCAACTACCAGTTTTAGTCCGTGAGGCAGACACCCTGTCTACTTTTAAGGCTAGGCTTAAAACTTTCCTTTTTGATAAAGCTTCTAGTTAGAGTGGCTCAGGTTATCCTGATCTATCTCTATAGTTCTGCTGCTATAGGCTTAGACTCCTGGAGGACATAGGGACCCCTTTTTCATCATTCTGCTTCATTCTATCTCTATTCTCCCACTCTGCAGAATCTGTTAGTTCAATCTCTAACGTTCTGCTCTCTCTGCTTTTTCTCATAGTAGCTTCATCTGGTCTGTTCCTGTTTTTCCTCTCCTCTGTCGCTACAAGCATGCTTAGTGTGAGGGATTGCTGAAGAGTCAATGAGTCGATGCAATCAGCTGGTTTTCCTTAGATAGAAAACTTTGAATCAATCTGACTGGATGATCTGGTTGGTCTGGATCTATAAAGTGAGATGATGTGAATTGGAGCTATAGATCAAAAGTGAAAAGAACTGAATATTGTGTTGTTTACATGATCCCTTTATTGGTTTTAACAGGCTATAATCCAGCTGCAGAGCGCGGCTGAGCATATGATGCAGCAAAGCATTGTGGGAGTTTAGTTGAAGGTCCATCAGTTCTAGCAGATGTGGATCCAGGTCTGATTACGGGTCAGAAACGACTGATCTCTATGATCTGAAGGTCTTTAATGTTTTCTCATTCGTGGCCTTCCCGTCTATTAGATGATGCTCTATATGCAAGAAGAAGAGAACTAACCGGGTCAGCTGCCCCAGGGTCCCGGTACAGAACCAGAACCGCTTCCTATAGACTCATCTCCCTGATTCTTAGTTTTACGGCTGTTCAAGAGGAAAACTCCCTGTATCGTGTCCTTCTGACTTGCCGTAGGAATGAGTCAGACGTTAATGACCCTGATCCCAGGGTCCTCCTACGGTTCGGTTCTGGCCGGTTCCTTACCCTGAACCGTCTTCCCCAGGTAGTCTCCTCTCCTCTCCTTGGTGATGACTGACTGGTAGATCTTCCCCGTGGTCAGGTTGTTGTCTCTGGTCAGCCGGATGTCCAGGAAGCGCTCATAGTTGCCCAAGTCCAGGTCCACCTCGCCGCCATCATCCAGCACAAACACCTCACCTGGAGATTAGAAGACGACCGCTCAGAACCTGCGGCTCCACGGCCTAATCTGAGCAGGCCGCAGGTTTCGTCCTACCGTGTTCGTACGGAGAAAAGGTCCCGGCGTCAATGTTGATGTACGGGTCGATCTTGATGGCCGTGACACGCAGACCGCACGACTTGAGGATTGTTCCCACGCTGCTGGCGATGATCCCTTTGCCGATGCCGGAGATGACGCCGCCCGTCACCAGGATGTACTTCATCATGGTTCTGCCTGGAGACACAGAAGCAATAACCAGATTATTATGCTGAAGAGAAACGGTGCAGCCATGGTGATGGTGGGCGGAGCTGCTGCTCTCAGCCAATCACAGAGCAGCTCTAAGAGGAACAACCATGGAGCTCAGTGAGGGTCCGAGACAAGCAGGACTCAGCAATGATGCCTGTCTTTAATTCATCAACCTTTAAAATGGGTTCAAAGCTCCAGCTGAGCTCAGCTTAAAGGAATAGTACACCCAAAACATGATTAGCCTTCATTTTCTACTCACCCCCATGCTGAACAACACTCTGGAGTACTTTTTTGATATCTCAAATGCATCTGGAGATCTGGGAGGCTTCTTGCTGTCTGCTGACATTCAAATAATGGAGGTCTATGGCGCCCGAGGCAGAAAGGTCCATAAAAGTCCACAAAAAACGTGTCAATATTCCTCCATACTGCTCGTCCAATGTATTCCAAGTGTCCTGAGTGGGTAGCATCCAGAATTTACTCGAAACGAAGTCATTTAGAATGTTTTTAGAGCATAAACAGTAGACCAAACCAGATGAAAGTGCGCATTCAGCGTCTGCTCTGCCGATAATGCAAGCGTAGAAGAAGAAATGTGCTGTTTACCTGTGCAAAGAAAGAAACAACGAAAGAAAAATGTCTGAGGACTTCAGTGTTGAGGAAGAGCATGAGTTCTTTGCCGAGCTGAATGCGCACTTTCATCTGGTTTGGTCTGCCGCGGATTCCGTAGACTCGTGAACGCGCTTTCAGGAAATCCTATACACTACTGTTTATGCTCTAAAAACATTCTAAATGACTTCGTTTCGAGTAAATTCTGGACGCTACCCACTCAGGACACTTGGAATACATTGGACGAGCAGTATGGAGGAATATTGACACGTTTTTGTGGACTTTTATGGACCTTTCTGCCTCGGGCGCCATAGACCTCCATTATTTGAATGTCAGCAGACAGCAAGAAGCCTCCCAGATCTCCAGATGCATTTGAGATATCAAAAAAGTACTCCAGAGTGTTGTTCAGCATGGGGGGGGAGTAGAAAATGAAGGCTAATCATGTTTTGGGTGTACTATTCCTTTAAAGGCAGGGAAACTAAAACCAGTCAGAGCAGCTTCTGCTCCTCTAACCCCAGCTTAATCCCACCTATGTGTCCAGAATAACTGCCTTTTTCCTCACACCCCCCCGACCAGTGAACCTGGATAATCCATCATCTGACCAGAACATTCTGGCTGGACTTTGACACGCTGATTTTCACCTGGACTCTCACCTGAGGACCGAACTGGAGGTTCTGCTCTGGATCTTTCTCACCAGACAGAAAAATCTGCTTTCTTCGCTTTAATCTTTCCGATTAATCTGTTGGATTAATTTAAATTAAACTAATAAAAGCGGGAAATAACTTCAGAGGAGATTAATCCAGATGTTTGCTGCTAAAACCTCCCAGAATTAAACTAAGATCATGAATATTAATGAAGGAAACTTTCCCGGCACAAAGCTGGAGGCGCTCGGCTGTTGATAGGGCGCCGTCCGGGCGGGCGGTGAGCCGCTGGTTTTAGTGAAAATGAGGAACCCCGCTCATGGAGGCTGACAGTGTGGAAGAAGTCAGCCAGAACTGGTACCCCAGCTCCAGTTAGCTCTGAGCTAAGAGCTAATTAGCTGTTATTGCTAATGTTAGCATCACATCACAGCAGAGAAACTGTTAGCTTAAAGAGCTAAAGCTACAGAGGACACATGTGCAGCTAATGCGGATGAAACACCTACTAATGGGCTGCTTTCAAAATAACACTGAAACCCCGCCATTGCTAGCAGCGCCGCGGGGCCCCCAGAGGCCCCTGAAGAAGATATTCCTGTCTGAGCGGAGGTTAAAGTTGATCCCAGTTTGCCCGCTCAGGTTTCAGCTCACCAGAAGCTTCCCACCGGTGGATCCGGTCCAACAGAACCGAGCAGCAGGCTCGGACCGCCGGGTCTCAGCTGGACCAAACACCGAAGTTCTGGTTCCGTTCAGGCTCCTGTCGGAACCAGCGACGCTCAGATCGACTCAACACGTGTTTGAAGCGCGATACTGGCAGCTACGTCAGCGGTGACAACACAGCGCTGCTTTCAGGGACACCTCGGAATTTGGACATTCACTTATTATTTGGACAGATAATAAGATTTATTAGTGTTTCTGCCCAGAGATGGAGGCAGATTTATTGACTGATCCTGATTACAGCGCTTCTTGTTCCTCATTTCCTGTTTTTATTCTTATGTTTTTTTTAGTGCGCAGATACCCTGGATAATTATGTTACATTCAAATCACCTCGGATTGTACAGCTTCGGTCTTTAAACGACATCCCGCTGTTCCAACCAGGAGCGTGGAGCGCAGGGCTATGGCAGGCCGTTTTGACATTTATTAGCAGGACTGAATATCTGACCCCGATGTTGCATTTCTTCATATCTAGAATAAACATCCCAGATATCTGAAATGTATTCTTAGTATTACAAATGACGTCACTGTTTCCCATTTTTGTGAATTGGGCTTTTACGTCCACATTCCTAAAAATAAACATTCTTCTTCTCTAAAAATGAATAGTGACGGGGATGAACTCTAAGTTCAAATCTCTGTAATGAGGTATGCTAGTCAAAATTACTATTTCAGATATCAGAAATGAATACAACATTCTAGATATCCAGGAATCAAATTCTTTACATCAAAAATATATTTCTGCTAGTAGAAATATAATTACAGATATCAACTATTGATATATGATTAGTTAAATTAGAATTACAGATGTATCAGTTTTAATAATGCCTTTCTAAAATGCAGTTTTAGATACTCGCAAAGAATAACGAGGCTCCGTTTTAACAAAAAATAGGAAGGCTGACTAACATTTCCATCATAGATAGCACTAAAGCATTCTACCTAGTCACAATAAAATAATAATTATTATATAATAAAAAATTATGAGCAGTAACAACTGGATTATGGATTATTTTTAGACATCCAGAATGTTTATTTTAGATAGGAGTAATGACATTTCAGATATCTGAAAGTACCGGCCCAATACACATGAATGGGAAAAAGTGACATCATTTAGAGTAGTACGACTTACATTTCAGATATCTGCCCCCGCGACCCGGTTCCGGATAAAGCGGGACACGACGACAATATCTGAAATCTTCTTTTTAGATAGGTGGAATACTGTAGTCGGACTGCAGTTTGGATCAGGACAAATCTTATTTTAAAGATCAACAAATGGAATGGCTACAGCTGCTTTTTGTATCTATGCTTCTTTTTCTATGTCTGCTTCTGTCTCCTTGAACCCCAGTGGGCCTCAGCAGATGGCCGCTCACACTGAGCCTGGTTCTGCTGGAGGTTTCTTCCTGTTCAAAGGGAGTTTTTCCTCTCCACTGTCGCTACAAGCATGCTTAGTGTGAGGGATTGCTGAAGAGTCAATGAGTCGATGCAATCAGCTGGTTTTCCTTAGATAGAAGACTTTGAATCAATTTGACTGGATGATCTGGTTGAACTGTAAAGTGCCTTGAGATGACATGATGTGAATTGGAGCCATAGAAATAAACTGAATTGAAATTGAATAATACGTAGAGAGGACAGCGCCTCTAATAAATGTCAAAATGGCCTGCCATAGATTGCAGATGGTTGGAGTTGGCTTTTGGTTTTGGCCTTATGGGTTGATGGATGGAACAACATGGCAGGTCAGGTAGCTGAGGATGAGGAAGATGAGGAAGGCTGGGAAACAGATAGTGGAGGTAAAGAGGAGAAAGGTGGTTTGATAATGAAGAACATAAACTTGAATTAGAAAAAAGTTCAGATGAAGAAAGAGATGTAGAAAGAAATAAAAATAATATTTAGATTCAATGACGAAGATAAACAGTAATTTCAGCCCCGTTTTGATTTCCAATGAAATAAATAAGAATTGGGGAAGTGGAATCAGCTGAAGAGTCGATTGATGGAAACTTTCTGGTAATATGGAAAAATGAGGAGCAAAAAAATAAATCAAAGCTTTGGATGTTAAACACTGAGGGAAAAGAGGTGAGGTAAAAGTCATTGGACAGAATAAAACAGAGAAAGGAGGGATAACAGGAAAACCAATTCAGCAGGATTTAGATCAATTAGAGATGAACATTATTGGAGGCTTTGCTAACAGGATCCAGAGTTTCTAGAAACCTAGAAGAGGAAAGGATGGCAGCAGGTCACTGCTGATAGTTTCAGTCAGTTCTAGCAGAGTTTCATTCCACCTCCACTCAGGTGCTCTAGGTGTCAGCGCTACGCACACCTGGCAGCAGTTTGTAGGGAAAGCAACGGTGTTCAAAATGCAGAGAAGAACTAAGAATGAAGGAGAGAAGAAAGGTGCTGCAGCTATAGAGGGCAGCACTGATTAACTATGGAGGAGAGAAAGAAACAGCTTAGAACTATAACAACTAGAAGAGAGATCAGAATAAAGAAGAAACAGAAGATAATTTCAGTTGAATTCTATTCAGTTTATTTCTATAGCGCCAAATTCACATCATGTCATCTCAGGTCACTTTCCAGTTCACCAGATCATCCGGTCAGATTGATTCAAAGTTTTCTATCTAAGGAAAACCAGCTGATTGCATCGACTCATTGACTCTTCAGCAATCCCTCACACTAAGCATGCTTGTAGCGACAGTGGAGAGGAAAAACTCCCTTTGAACAGGAAGAAACCTCCAGCAGAACCAGGCTCAGTGTGAGCGGCCATCTGCTGAGGCCCACTGGGGTTCAAGGAGACAGAAGCAGACATAGAAAAAGAAGCATAGATACAAAAGGCAACTGTCAACCAGCTCCACAGGCGGCCCCGTCCAGGAAACACACAGCCAGGCAGACGAGCTCCGAGCCAGCTCCCATGTCAGAGGATGAAGAGAGCACATCCAGTTAGTCACAGTCAGAGAAACAGGACTACACTGGAAAACAGGCCAAGCTCCAACATCTAGAAACAAAGGTGTTGATGGCAGCAGCACAGCTGATATTGTCATGATCTGGCCTGTTTGTTCTCCCCTAATTAGTAGTTCCTCTCACCTGCCCTCTTCCCTCCCTGCCTCATTATAATTTATTCCTCTCACCTGTTTCCTCTGGTTTATATTCAGTTCAGCCTGAGCATTCAGGGCCAGATCATTGCTTGTCTTTTTGTTAGTCTGTCCAGTTTTATTTGGTTCATGTCCTGGATCCTAGCTGCCAGTGGAAAGAGGGTTTTAGTGTTTGTCTCGTCTCCTGATCGTCCACTGTTCCTCCCCTGCGGAGTTCTCTGGGTTTTTGGCTCATTATGTGGGGAGGTTCAGTTTTTATCTCAGTAAGCCTGGCTCCTGGGAGGAGACCAGTTTAAAGTCTGCTTCAAGTTCTGGTTCCTACGTCCTGTCTCGGCTACCCTCTTCCACTGAGCCTGCCTGTCTTCACCTGATCCTGTCTGCTCCTGTGCGTGACCATCTGGTCATGCTTCTGGTCCCAGTCTGACTTTGAACCCCATTGGAAGCCTGTGCATGCCTGGAAGTCTGGATCCTGCCACCTGTCTCTGTTCCTGCCTGATCTGGATCCCTCACCAGGATCAGCTTCCAGCATCACCTCTGGGACTGCAGCACTGGGGACACTCGTGGTCTGGACTGTTAAACCAGGTAAGTGACCAACACAGTTAAACTTCTGTCAGATGATCGTGGTCACTTACCTGTGTTTCTCCCCCAGAGTGTCTGAGATTGGGCGGTACCCCCCCCCCCCCCTTAACTACAGTTTGTGGACTTCCTGATAGTAAAGAATTACAATAGTCCTGCCTTGGTCAGATTTAAACCAGTCTAGTGCTGTTCCTTTAATTCCAACAAAATATTCAAGTCTTTCTAAAAGAATATTCTGATCAACTGTATCAAATGCAGCACTAAGATCCAACAGGACGAGCACAGATACAAGTCCATTATCTGAGGCCATGAGAATATCATTAGTGACTTTCACCAGAGCTGTTTCAGTGCTATGATGAGCTCTAAAGCCAGACTGAAACTCTTCAAAAAGTTCATTATGGTGGAAGTGATCGCACACTTGTTTGGCAACTACTTTCTCAAGAATTTTGGATAAGAAAGGAAGATTGGATATAGGTCTATAATTGACCAAGTCATCTGGGTCAAGAGACGGTTTCTTAAGCAGAGGTTTAATTACAGCAACCTTAAAAGCTTTAGGTACATATCCCTGTAACAGAGATAGATTAATCACATCTAAAATGGAGGAGGAGATCAAAGGGAATACCTCCTTAAATAACCTGGTTGGAACTGGATCTAACATACAAGTTGAAGGCTTAGATGAAGACAATAATTTTGCTAATTCAGAGAGTTCAACTGGATCAAAGCAGTCTAAACCCGGTTCAGATTCCATGACTACCTCAGGTACAATCTCGGATAGAGGAGTGCTTATGATCTTATTTTTAATAAGATCAATCTTATTTATAAAGAATCCCATAAAATCATTGCTGCTAAGAGCAGGTGGAATGGACGGTTCAACAGAGCTATGGCTCTGGGTGAGTTTGGCAACTGGATTAAAAAGAAATCTAGGATTATTCTTATTCTCCTCTATTAATCAGGAGAAGTATGCTGCTCTTGCTTTACAAAGGGTCCTCTTATACAGCAGTAAACTATTTTTTCAGACTAGGAAGGACTCTCGCAGGCCTGTGGAGCGATATTTTCTCTCCAGTTTCCTAGCATTTTGCTTCAAAGTGTGCAGCTCTGCACTTTCACTACAGCAGCAGAGAAACTGATTTTATTTCTAATCTCTGTCATTAAAGCTGCAGTCTGTAACATTGAGAAGAGAGCAGACTTTGAATCAGCGTGTGTGAGCTGTGATTGACACTCCATCAGACGCTCCTCTGGCTGTGATTGGTTGTTTTGACTCGTCCCGAATTATTCTTTCCAGATTGAAATACAGGCAGTAGGCGGGACCAATTGAAGCAGTTTTTTTCACAGGTTACGTATCACATGTACTGCTGCTGGGCATAGGGACAGTTTTAGACAATATGACAAAAAAGGGATTTTTAAAAACTTACAGACTTCAGCTTTAACTGCTCAGACCGAGCCGAGCAGAAGGCAGAGAAAATGAGGATGAA